TGCAAAGATGAAGTGAGGAAAGCTAAGGCTCAAAATGAACTAAGGCTTGCGACCAAAGTCAAAAATAATAAAAAAGGTTTTTTCAACATGTAGAAAACGAAAAAAAGAAATGATTGGTCCATTAGTGGGAGAAAATTGCAAGAAGGTGACAAGCAACAGGGAGAAAGTAGAACTATTTAACTTGTTTTTTTCATCTGTCTTTACACAAAGGAAAAAAAACAGTCCAACCTATCAAAAACAGTACCATAAATTAGGCAAGATAGGCAAGAAAATGGTAAATGAGCACCTGTCCAGCCTAGATGAGTTCAAATCACCAGGACCAGATGGATTACACCCCAAGGTTCTCAAGGAACTGGAAGATGTGATCTCAGAACCACTGAAATATATCTTTCAAAGATCCTGGAGCACTGGGGAACTACCAGAGGACTGGAAAAGAGCTGATGTAGTCCCTATCTTCAAAAAAGGAAAAAAAAAATGGATCCAGGAAATTACAGACCTATCAGCCTGACCTCAATACCTGGGAAGATTCTGGAAAAAATAACCAACGAATCAACGAACACTTAGAGGCAAACAAAGTCATCATTAAAAGCCAACATGGGTTTGTCAAAAACAGATCATGCCAGACAAATCTTATTGCATTCTTTGACCAAGTGACAAAATTAGTGGACCAGAGGAATGCTGTGGATATAATTTACTTGGACTTCAGTAAGGCATTTGATAAAGTAGATTACAACCTATTACTTGATAAGATAGAAAAATGTGGGTTAGACAGCATCACCACCAGATGGATTTGTAGCTGGCTGACTGGTTGTACTCAGCGTGTGGTCCTCAATGGAACTGCATCTATATGGAGGGAAGTGTGTAGTGGGGTGCCCCAGGGCTCTGTTCTAGGCCCGGCGCTCTTCAACATCTTCATCAATGATTTGGACAGAATAGATGGGAAACTCATCAGATTTGCAGACGATACCAAACTGTCAGGAATAGCCAACACTCCAGAAGGCAGGCTTAAGATACAGGAGGATCTGGACAGACTTGAACACTGAGTGCTATCTAATAAAATGAAATTCAATGGTGAAAAAGTAAGGTTCTACATTTAGGCAAGAAAAACCAAATGTACAGGTATAGTATAGGTCAGTGGTGACGAACCTATGGCATGCGTGCTAGAGGTGGCACTCAGAGCCCTCTCTGTGGGCACGCGCACCATGCCCTGGAGATGACAATTGTCTCTCTTCAACCAGCCACCCGCTAACATGCTGAGGTCCCATGTGGCTGGATGCATCCCATCACCCATGCGCTCGCTGGCCTATGTGTGCAGGGGCCGATGGTATCAGGCAGCAGCCGCCCGGTCCCTGCCTTATCTTGCCCTGTGACCATGGCAACCCGCCCTGCCTCGCCTTGCCTTGCCTCACCCTGCAGGACGAGCTTCCTGCCTACCTGCCAGAGACCTCCTGGATCTCCCCCAACCCTGTCCGGTCCCCACAGGCGTCCCTTCCCATGAGCAACATTGAACTGATCACGCCCACTTTGGCCACACCCATCCAATCTGTCATGACCACCACAGCCATGCCCACCTGGCACCCGGCAATAAATAAGTGGGTTTTGGGTTGCAGTTTGGGCACTCGGTCTCTAAAAGTTTCGCCATCACTGGTATAGGTGGTACCTTGCTCAATAGTAGTAACTGTGAGAGGGATCTCAGAGTGCTAGTGGACAATCACTTAAATATGAGCCAGCAGTGTGCTGCAGCTGCCAAAAAAGCCAACACAGTGCTAGGCTGTATTAACAGAGGGATAGAATCAAGATCACGTGAAGTATTAATACCACTTTACAATGCCTTGGTAAGGCCACACTTGGAATACTGCATCCAATTTTGGTCATCACGATATAAAAAAGATGCTGAAACTCTAGAAAGAGTACAGAAAAGAGCAACAAAGATGATCAGGGGACTGGAGGCTAAAGCATATAAGGAACGGCTGCTGGAATTGGGTATGTCTAGCTTAATGAAGAGAAGGATGATGGGGGACATGATAACAACATTCCAATATCTCAGGGGCTGCCACAAAGAAGAGGGAGTCAAGCTATTTTCCAAAGCACCTGAAACCAGGACAAGAAGCAATGGATGGAAACTAAACAAGAAGAGAGGCAACCTAGAACTAAGAAACTTCCTGACAGAACAATTAACCAGTGGAACAACTTACCTACAGAAGCGGTGAATGCTCCAACACTGGAAGTTTTTAAGAAAAGACTGGACAGCCATTTGTCTGAGCAGAAGGTTGGACTAGATGACTTCCAAGGTCCCTTCCAACATTATTATTATTATTATTAATACCCATTTTCTGTTTTTCTTTCATAGTCTCATATTTTCTTTTTCCACCATTCCTAATGGTATAGTCTATATGGCACAGTGGCTTAGAAGTTAAGATGCTCGCTCTAGGCACTGGCAGTTTTTTCTCTATCAGGGTACAAAGAGAAAATATCTGTTGCAAACTCCGTGTAGGCATTAGGAAGGGCATCCCGCTAGTAAACGTTCAGCTCCATTCAGCTGCCCCAACTCCACCCTGATACAAGGGATTACAGGGTCAAAAAAAACCCAACACCTTAAGAGTATAGTCTATAGGCTTTCAGTTTCTTTGGACTTGTTGTCCACTTTCCTATTTTCTTCCTTTCTGTTTTCTATTTTGATTTTCTACTTTCCTCTTTTACATTTCCAGTGCTGTGGCTCTGATTGTTCCCCTCCAGAGGTTTTTTGTTGCTCCAAGTTAGAATGGTTGGTTTTAAAAAATGGTCCTGATCTCATGGTAGCCCACAAAAGGGAGAATCGATCCACCGAAGTGCACTAAGGAAATTCCAGTTCATGAAATAATGTGGTTGACTGAAATTAAAACAGAGGCTGACCTCCTTTGAAATTAAAATTCAGTCTATTAAATAGTAAAATGGTGCATACTTCAAAGTTTCCCATGAAAGTTTTGGCATATACTTAACACAATTGTTTTACTGACATCATAAAGAAAAAGAGATTTTAAAATGTCCCGTGTGAAATTTAGTATGTGACTTAGGTATCTGATATAATAATGATAATTTGAAGTGTTAGCATTGCTAGGGTAGAATTCTGAGGATGGAACCCAGACCAGCATTTTCAGAAAATAGATCAGAATAATAATAAAAAAAGATCAAAATATTCCAGTTTTAAAGCATTCACCTAAATACACAAGGATTTAAAAATGAGCAAAAGAAGGGCCTTGGGGATCCATCCTCCTGTTTTCTCTAACCTCCATATATTTAGACGGAGGGCTAAAGAATTACCCTTTTGTTTGCTAGAACTCAAGTACAGCTGCCTGTTTGATTTGAAAACCCAAGTGTAGCATGCTTTGGAAAGATTTGTACAGCCGAACATGGTAGATAGGCAAAGTAGGGGCAATGATAGTGTGCACTCTCCACCCTTTATCTATTTTTAAGCTCTTTTGGATGTGGTATTGTTGAAGAAATTTCTGCTGCATCCATACCAACCTTTCTCATATCATCTTAATATAGCGCATTACCTCACCCTACCCAAATTTTCTTGGGAAGGCTTTTGTATTCACTATAAGTAAGTAAGTTGTATTGACCTATGTGGTTCTTCTGAGTACAGGTGGTCCTCAAATTACAACAGTTGATTTAGTGATTGTTCAAAGGGAACAACAGCACTGAAAATAGTGACTTAAGATTATTTTTCACACTTAACGATCACTTCAGCATCCCCATGGTCACGTGATCAAAATTCAGACACTTGACAACTGACTCACATTTATGATGGTTGCAGTATCCCAGGGTCATGTGATCCCCTTTGCAACCTTCCTACAAGCAAAGTCAATAGGGAAGCCAGATTCACTTAACAACGGTATCACTAATTTAAAAACTGCAGTGATTCACTTAATAGCTGTGGCATGAAAGATTGTAAAATGAGGCAAAATTCATTTAACACATGTCTCATTTAGCAACAGAAATTTTGGGATCAACTGTCGTCATAGGTTGAGACCTACCTGTACTGTACATGAATATTGGATTGCACTGCCATGCAGCTAATTACTAAAATTCACTAATAAAAGTATTGTAGCATGGCGTGTAATACTTTGAGTTTAAATTGTGTTGTTCGAAATGATTTATTTTGGCAACTTCGGAAGCCTTGAGCTCAGAAATGCTCTCTAAATGAACCCAAATAGCAATATCTTACTCAAAATGGGATTTTTTGAATTTGAAACAGTTAAAATTCAGAACAGATTGACTGATTGATTGATTGATCTGAGCCATCAAGTCCTTTTCCACTCCTAGTGACCACATAGATCAATGGTTCTCAACCTTTCTAATGCCGCGACCCCATAATACAGTTCCCCATGTTGTGGTGACCCCGAACCACTTATACATCACCGGGTGCCAGGGACATGGCCAAAGAAAAGGGGAAAAAATGGCGGACAGCCTTGTTTGGCGACCCCCATAAAATGGTCGTTCGACCCCAAATGGGGTCCCGACCCACAGGTTGAGAACCACTGACATAGATAGATTTTCTCCATGACAATCCATCCCCAATCTGTTTGGTCAAGTCTCCCACTGTAACTGAGTCAGACCATTTTGGTGTTTTTCTTGATTTTGGTTCCCATATATATTTCTTAATTAATCAACAGTCACAGCAAATGTATTGGCATAAATTAAGATTCCTGGTCCAACTGTTGAGAAATAAAGAAAAAGTGTTTAACAGAATAATAGAGCTGGAAAAGGCCTTGGAAGGCTTCCAGCCGAAACCCCTGCTAAAACAGGAGACCTTATAACCAGTTCACACAAATGTTTTTGTCCAATCTCTTCTTAAAAACCTCCAGTGTTGGGGCACCCACAACTTCTGGAGGCAAGCCATTCCACTGATTAATTGCTAATTAATTAATTAAAAATGTATAGGTTTGGTAAGTAGTTTGGGGATTTTTTTTTCTATTGCATAATCATTTCTGATGTCTACACTTTGCATTTTTCTCTAGTATCCCAGTCCCATGGAGAAAAATGTTATTGCTGTAAAAACAGTAGAAGAGAAAACAGGTAAGCATTTTAAAAATGTGCAGCTCTGCCATACTTAGCCTTGATTCTGTAATCTGTGCTCTAGAAAATTATTGTTTAAATTACTGCAATATGTTGTATATTGAGCTGCCCTTGTGAATGATCTGAAAACTTCCAAGTAGTCCAAAATACAGCAGCAGGAATTGGGCATTGTGAAAATATTAGATCAATTTTCTGTATGCTTCTTTGGCTCTCAGTTCATTGCAATTCTCATTCAAGTGCTAATATTAATCTATAAAGCCCTTTAGGGCATGAGACCATGTTATTAGAAGAATGTTTATTTATTTATCTGAATTTATTTGAATTATAAGCCAACCAACTCCAATGGACTCTTCCTAGAAGTTTCTACCTGTGCCCTGAGCTGATCTTCAGATACCCCTGCATACACCTCTGTAAACACACACATCTGAGAAGTAAAAGCTTCCCTTAGTAAATCTAGGCAGTGACAAGCAGAGCTTTTGTGCAAATACACACACAAAGCAGCAAAACCTCAAATTCCCAGACTGTTTGCCTACAATGAGCTCTGAATAGCCAGAGCGCTAAGTGGGGAGCAGAAACAGGTTATAATCCAGAAATCCAAAAAAACTCAAATGCCTCTCTGCGGATCCTCGTTCCAAGAAATGGAGTTGTCTCAGGCAACAGGCTCTGGGATGCAAATGCATAGTGTTTCAGCAAGCAGAGAAGTTATTCTCAACAGAATTGCCAAACAATGATGGCTCTTAAATGGATCCTGCGTGAGTGCCATCATGCTATCAAGAAATGCCCTTTCCATGGAAGGAGTGAGACTGATCTGTTCTTGCACACAGTTCAGAACGTTCTAGGGCAGTGATGGCGAACCTTTTAGAGACTGAGTGCCCAAACTGCAACCCAAAACCCACTTATGCATCGTCGAGTGCCGGGTGGGTGTGGCCCATTGGGTGGATGTGGCCCATTGGGTGGGCATGGCTGCAGTGGTAAAGGCAGACTGGGTGGGACTAAAAAGTTCAATCAATCAATTCCAACTTTGCAAGACTTCTTTTTTCCCCGCAAGAAGTTGAAATTGATTGAACCTTTTTTTTTTTTTTTGCACACAGCGGCAAAGACCTAAAACGAAAAGGTTTTATAAAACCCAGCTGAAGACCTAGGACTGGGGCGACATGCGTGCCCACAGAGAGGGCTCTGAGTGCCGCCTCTGGCACCCATGCCATAGGTTCACCACCACTGTTGTAGGGCTAGGAGGAGATGTGCAATCCAGCCCTCATCTGCTTCCAGCTGACTGGAATGTTCCTCATTCATGTCAGCCTTGGGTGCTTAGTTGCTAGGCTTCCTTTAAGGCTAATATTTGTCCTGAGAATCTTGAGCAACTTCCTTCATTTCAGATTTTACTGAGTCTGAGCTGGCCATCAACAAATGGTCACCAGGCTGAAGCCTTTTCCTTCGCAGCCCCCATGACTCTGGTGCTGATTTTACTGCCTTTTTGGCACCAAGCATTAATGCTCTCAACCTTTTAATATATTCATGTTAATTTTAAATTTACATGTTGCATTGAATGTTTTCAATAATTGGGTGGCTGTTTTAATTTTTATTGTGTATTTTAATTCAGCTTAATTGTAATTTTTATATTGCAATTTTAATGCAGCTGCCCTGCAAAACTCAGTTTGAAAAGTGACATAAAAAAGATTAAAATAAGTAAAACAGATTTACTTTCTTCTTTGTTTAAAATGATCAGGAAAATGTTCAGTTAATTTCATGTAACTAAGAACACATTCAGAAGTATTCAAGAATGCCTATTTAATTTTCATCCACTAATAGAAATAAACATAGAACTCTATAGAAAATGAATCTTTTGCTGTTGAATTTATTGCCTTTAATTAGTTTAAGAATATTTATGAGGCAATGCATACTGTAATAGTGACATGATATTTTTTACATAGAAATGTACAAGATACTTTGACATGATAGTCATTTACATCTGTTCCAGTTAGGTCTCTGGCCTAATTTTGGAAATGAAACTTCTGTAGCTTTCTGGGTGGATGGTCTATGTTAATAGGCTGGGTTGAAGAATGAGTATGGTGCTATAAATTGTCCTAGATCTTTTAGCAGCGTGCATAATCATCAGCCATGTGGTCTTTTGCACAACTATTTTTTTCAGTGATGCAGTTAACAGATTAACAGAGTTGGAAAGGACCTTGGAGATCTTCTAATCCAACCCCTTGCTCAAGCAGTAGTCCTTATTACCAGTTCACACAAATGGCTATCCAATCTCTTCTTAAACACCTCCAGTGATGGAGCACCCACAACTTCTGAAATCAAGCCATTCCACTAGCTTATTGTTCTCAGTTATACTATGTCCGCAGCATTTCGCTGATCCACTAATTTAGTCACTTTGCCAAAGAATTAAATAAGATTTGTTTGGCATTATCTATTTTTGACAAACTCATGTTGGCTTCTGGTTATAACTTTGCTTGCTTCTAGGTATTTGCAAATCTGTTGCTTGATTATCTTTTCCAGGATCTTCCCAGGTATTGATGTCAGGCTGATTGGTCTATACTTTCCTGGATCTGTTCCCCCCCCCCTTTTTTTTTTAAGATAGGAACCACATCAGCTCTTTCCCAATCCTCAGGTAGTTCCCCGGTGCTCCAGGATCTTTGAAAGAAATGGTACAATGATTCTGAGATCACTTCTGCCAGCTTCTTCAGAACTCTGAGATGTAATCCATTAGATCAGGGGTCTTCAAACTTGGTCCTTTTGTGACCTGTGGACTTCAATTCCCAGAATTCCTCAGTCAGCATGCCTAGCTGAGGAATTCTGGGAGTTGGTCCACAAGTCATAAAAGGGCCAATTTTGAAGACCCTTGCATTAGATCCTGGTGATTTGAACTTGTCTAGAGTGGACAGGTATTCTCTTACCATTTTCTTGCTTATTTTAATTTGAATTCCTAGTCTGTCTTTTATGGTTCTGTTTTTGATAGGTTAGGCTATTTTTTTTTCTTTTTGAATGAAGACAGATGCAAAGAAAGGATTAAGCAGCTCTGCTTTCTCCTTACTGTCCATCACTTCCTTTCCATCTTCCATTAGTGGACCAATTGTTTCATTGACTTTTTTTCTTGTTTTTTATATGTTGAAGGAAACTTGTTTTTATTATTTTTGACTTTTGTTACAAATTTTAGTTCATTATGAGCTTTTCTAAATTCCATTCTGGCAATTGAAAAATACTTTCAGGATTTACAGAGCACCCAAACCTTTGGACTTTATTTTTAATCAGAATATGTTTGCTTGTCTTTACCCTGTACAGTTCCTTATGATGCTGTGTCTACAGTTTTTGATAGTCTAGAGTTTTTAGACAAAGTTAATCAATGTTTGTCCTTCCTGCTTCCTAGCTAGCTAATGGTTCTTTGTTCTTTATGGTCATTTACAGGTCCCACCTCCTTTGCATGCATCTAACAAACATATTTTCACCTCTTTTTCCAAAAGAAAAAGCTTGTTATAATCATCCCTCATCAACCATGCATTTATCTATTCTTGGTAATTTTACAAATACACATGCAAGGTACTTCTAAGTGTGTCATGTAACTTTTAAAAAAATAAACTTTAAAAATCCCAAAGTAGCATAAATTATTGTAAAACTCTAGGTAAATTAATATATTTTGATCACTCTTCTGTTATGTGTGTGTGGGCGGGAGGGGGGAGGCAAAGTCAACCAATCATAGTTTGTTTTACAGTATTTATTAACTTGTATCTAGTAGTCTGTGAAAAAAAGAAATCATTTTGTCTGGCTTAGATGAGCTAAACAATGTGAATGTTTTGTGTGTTTTAGCTCTTTGGTGACAAAGAAGTAAACTGGCATTCAGAGCTCCCTGCATAGTTGCAACTGGAACAGCATAGAATTAAAGCTGTAAACAAACACCATTCTGCTTGGTAGAGGAATGGAAGGAGAACAAGCTATAAAAATGCATACATAAATAGCAGGATAATAAGATGCTAAGCCTCTATGGGCAAGGAAGGGAGAAAGTGATTGAAAATTGGTTCAGTTAGAAATGAAATAAGCTGAAATTGGGCCAGGAGATGACAGACAGTATGGTGAGAAATTATTGTTGTGGGGGAAAAAAACCCCACATCTCTCATCATTTGAAGTAACATTGCTTGGGAAGGCTGATGTATTCACTTAACAAAAGTAAGCTGCATTGAGATCTGTGGTTCTTTAGAGTGAACATGGATAGGATTGTACTGCCAGCTAATTACTAAAATTCACTGATTAGTAAATTTCTTGTACTGTTGGGTGTACAGGTGATCCTCAATTAGCAACTGCCTCATTTAATGACTATTTGAAATTATGACCTTCACAGGTCTGTAAAGGAAAGGAAAGCTAAAGTATAGTTGTAGTTTCTTTTAGTCACCTCTTTGCTTAATTTGCAAAGTCCCAATTGTAGTCACTAAATGAGAACCACCTACATTCCTTTGAATTTAAATTGTTCCATTTGAAATAATCTGTTTCAGCAATTTAGGAAAGTTCTTGAGGTCAAAAATGCTCATGAGTTGCAGAAGGGTGGCTGAAGTTCTAAGTGATACAGCAGTGCTGTTAAAGCTATGGATATCAAAGAAAAACTGGCTATTTTTAAGGGGAAAATGATGTGAAAGGGAGGCACGTATATTTGGTTAAAAATAATTTATATATCATAAAAATTATCATTTGATAGTCATTCAAATGCCAGATACTGAGTGGACATATTTAGTGCCTTAGCCTTTTATGGATCCTGGTCTCAAAATATAAGAGACATATGCAGTGGTGGGATTCAGCAGGTTCGCAACAGTTCGGCAGAACTGGTAGCTATTTTTTTGTTGCCCAGACCCAGAATGGACTTCCGGAAGCGGCATCCACACAGAGAACCGGTTGTTCACATATTTGAATCCCACTGGACATATGACAACAATGGTTTCATCTGCAACATGTGATTTATAGGTTAAATGACTTCGACCAGAGATGAAGCATCAGTAGATTTTCAGATGGTGCTGGAATGCAGACTTTGGCATCTCCCACCAATAATCCTGTTGGCTAAGGTTCCTCACTTCAGCCTATTTAGAGGGCTGAGAAATAGAACTGAATAGACATAATCCTTTGTTTTTTAGCTCTGTAGTTTTTCCTTCCTACCATTTGGGTAAACATTGACTTGACGTGCAGTTGAGTGAGAAGAAAACTAAGTTTTCTGTCAATTTCTCCCTATCCTCCACTGTACTGAGCTGACATATCCTTGGAAGCTTTAGAGATAAAAACCTGTTTCATTGCCTACTTGCCTGGACCACCAGTTTTCTATTTATTTTTCTGTCCTGTAATACCTCTCCTCTTTCCTTGAGACTACATTCTGATCAGATTTGAGATGGACTGCTAGGTGTTACCAACCCATCTTGATAAGAAGGAAAATATTAACATATATACATACAAAAGTCTTCTCTTCAGTTGGCAGAAAGTATTTAATTGCTTGTCCGTGGCAGTTATAATGTAGTATTTGATATTTTGCAGCAGTAAATAAAATGGAGCTCTATAATTTTGTTCAACTATGCATAAGCATCCCAATCAGTTTAAAAATATATATTTTTATGGCTACTGCATACCTGCTGAAAATTAATGCTGGAGCAGAAATATAAGCAAGTTCAGGATTGTGAGAAAATTCCTTTGAACAATTTTTCTAGGATAAAAGGTGAATCCTGTGGCAATCTCTGGTTGCTGTCAAAAGGGATAATTCATTCCTTAGTTCTGTGATTCATTTCTGTGGTTCAGAATAAATTAGCAATAATCATCATCTGTGAAGTGTATCAATTATGTCTTCTTTTTCTATTACTCAAACTCTGCAAGCATCTTTGTTTTAAAAGCTGTTAGGTTTTTTTAAAAAAAATCACAGATTTATTCAGCTATTGTTCCTTGTCCCTAAATGACTGCCCCAATTCTCCCCGTTCCCCCCAAGAACTGCATTCTTATCCAATGTGACTGTCAGATTGGGGTCACAGATGTAGAAATGTCATGTCTGCAGGAAAAAAGGATCTCATTACAATATAGTTACTAGTACAAAATACACTAAAAGGATCTGCATCTACAATACAAATACTAGTCAGGAAATGAGTAATTACTACTTCTGGGAGGAACTGTAGAACCAAGATTGGTCATTCTACCAACTTAGTATCCAACTGTTGCCTTACGTGTTTGTTTATTAAGGAAATCTGATGGAAAGGATACCAAGTTATTTTTCAAAATATTTCAAATTTGTATTCGCCATTGCATGCAATTTTAATATACTTTTTTTCCTTTGGAAATAATCAGCATATGACTCCTTGTAAATATGCCAAGTGGGAAATCCATATACAGTGCCACTACGTCTATTTAAAATTTACTGCAGCATGCTGTTTCCTAGGAAGAAATATTCAGATAAGGTTTCAGAGAGAGTTGCTTTTTCTCAAGAGCAAGAAATGGCCTTGCTCCAGGCTATTAGCCCATCCAAGTTATCAAATAACATATTTCTGAAGCTTATGGACTTAATCAGGAATCATTAAAAATTAAAATGCAAATTGATTTTAGAAGCCAGCCACGTTTGCATTGTAGGTCAATACGTATAATTTGAGAAAGAGGCTGTGCTTTAGTTTTCAGAAAGGAGCTTTATTCTTGTCACTGATTCAGTCCCGAGCAAATATAAATGTTTGTTGTCCAAGAAAATTGCTTTAGACTTCAAACATTGGCATTGCTAGATGGCAGAGAGGTAGTTTATGGTCTTAGGAAGTACTTTAGAATGCAGAGTGAGAAGAATGAGCTGTTTTTGCTCTGAAGTGCTGACCCAGGAAGATACTTGAAGCTTGTAACTAGCAATATAAATGCCTCCCAAATTAACTCCCTGATTGCTATTTGCCAAAATTTACTGCAATTTCAATGCAGTTCCAGGAAGTTTTAAAAAGTTAGAATTTAGCATTGTATTTTATGCTATGTTATTACCATAGCATAAAATGGTAGATTTAAATCAGTTGTTCCAGAACTACTAGGCAGGGTTCTTGGCATAAAATTCTTACTAGATTACCATACTGCAATATTCTTTGAGTGCTAAAGCAGGAAAATAAATCCCTTTATGGTTTCCAAGACTTCCTGCTGATATTGTTTGATTTTGTTTGTTACTCTGAAAACTTGTTCTTTTATTATCAGACTTGTCTACAGGAGTCATATATCGGAGAAGAATTGCAACATGCCAAAATGTAATTCCACACATTTTAAGAAAGGTAATCAAGTTCAATCTATTGAAATTCATTATAAAAGTGATATAGTCAAACTACGCTTTTGTTCAAAATTCATTAGTTTAACTTTTCGGAGTTACAGTTGACAGCATTTAAAATCCGACTTTGTATCTTAGAGATGAGATAACTGATATTCAAAGTCCTTATCTCAAAATGTGGATTTGTAGAACAATTAAAGCAACATTTTTACAATATAGGCAATCTAGCTCTAGAATCAAAGTAGGATGGAGATTCTTGTTTTAAGCTTCTTATATCTTCAACTTTCAAATTAAATTACAATATTTATAATATATATTCTGCTATGTACCATGCAACTTTGTAAAATGCTTTTTTAATCTTACATATTGAAAATATAATAATTCAGTTTTACCACATTTCTTTTTACTCTTTCCATGCCTCATCTAGATGGGAAAGCATAAAATTTACAGGTACCAAAGACAATGAAAAATAAACCCAAATGTTTTGAGTAATTATGTCTTGTTTACAAACAGTTGATGCTTTTCTTTTGTTACATTTAAGTGGACTTAAAAGACAAATAAAATGACACACATAAAGTTAATGCTTTGCTTTAAAATGTTGCAATTGGCAACATTTAACAAATTACTAAGCAATGGAAATGACCAATAAAAGCTTGCATGTTTATCAGATGTCAGTGTTTTGTCTGTAGTTACATGCTACTGATAGATATTAGCCTTAATATAATTATTAATGATTTTAAAAGAATGAAATGATTTACTAATGTACGTAATCTGATCTTTTTTCCCCCCACACTCCATTTATTGACCATTGTAAATGTTACATCTGGCAGATCAGTATCCTGAAAATATCAGAAGTCTACTTAGAAGAGGAGTCGTGGCTTAATATGCAAGAAAGAATGATGTCTATGAAGAGTCACTGTCTTACGTGGACAGAGTATGCTACCCTAAATGAAGAATCAGTCTTCAGAGAAAGCTCTGAAAATCCGAATTGGTAAGTTGTAGTAGATTCATTTATTGGAAAGTGGTACATGGATTTTCATTTCATGTATCACCTTCAATAGGAAGAACTAAAGGTTTTACCTTCTTGTTGATATAGTAAGTCTGCACAATTTATGAACCATCAAACCAAGGGCTGCTTGCTGTATGCATTGAAAAGACTGATTTGGGGCCCTTCTAAGACTTTTAACATGTTCTTTTAGTTTGTCAAACAGCTTACAATTGGTAGATAGGATGTCATGCAGCTCTCTGAAAGTCATAATAGACAGGATAAAAATAATCCTTCTGGTACCTGGTTGACTCTAAAGCCTTACTTACATATTTTTTACACTGCTCTCATTATTTACTGGTTACAACATTTTTCTGCCACTTTTCGCACTAAGAAGTTGGCCATAAACATTTGATTAATAAATAATTTTTGGAAGACTGTTTCAAATTAAAAAGAAACAATATTGTCAGAAAAATACAAAAGCAACAGCAACATCCCATTAAAATCACTGAAACAATGTGGTTCTGAAAATTTATTTATTTCCCACTTTTTTATTTTTATAAAAAGACTAATCTAAACTGTAATCTTATGGCCCTTGGCATTCTAGGACTGTTACAGAGGAGGGGTTAATCAGCCTAAGCTCAGAGAAAGGGATCCCACCTTGAAGGGAGAAATGCAACAAGTCCCCTTTTTCAACATTTAGAAACCATTAGAATGCCAACATTAGGAGAAGAAAAAATGGGGAAGATAATATAGAATCTGAAAGATCCAATCCTTCGTAATATTTCACCCAGAGAGAAAACTTACACCAACCCTGCAAGCTGATTTAATAGAATTATTTCCCATTCTTCACGAACAACAACAATAAAAGGTATATATATATATATATATATATATATATATATATATATATATGGATATATATATATCCTTAATGGTTGTAAAAATACAAATCCCGGGCATATTTATACAATGATGCAATCTTCGATCTCCGGGAAGAGTATACGTATTACGTTGAATGATCTCATTCGATGTAACATCGCTATTCACGTCCATCCCGCAAGAATTGGCCATCATGATTATAAAAGATCTATTACAACTGAAAGGACTACGGAGTCAAGGTTCCCTTGGGATAGAAGATATTGTCAGGTTATTACGGCTATGCTTGAAAACATACTTCACATTCCAGGGAACAATATATGAACAGATCAAGGGCACGCTGATGGGATCTCCCATTTTGGGAGTTATCACGGAGGCGGTCCTACAGCGTTTGGAAAGCAGGGCCATGGCCGACTACCAACCGGAGTTTTGGGCCAGGTATGTGGATGATACTTTCGTCATCGTTAAACGTGCGAGGAAAACTGCCTTTATGGAGAAACTTAACTCAATATTCCCGGACATACAATTCACAGCGGAGGAGGAGGCCAATGGCAGCTTGGCCTTCCTAGACATTTTGGTTACACGTCAAATTAATGGTGCCCTCCATACGACGGTGTATAGAAAAGCCACTCACACCGACAGGATGTTGCACTATATGAGCAATTACCCAGCAGCCCATAAGATCTCATGTGTAAGGACGTTATTTGCACGTATAGACACGCACTGCAATACCAGGAAGGCTAAGCAGAGGGAGCGTGCGCATCTTTATCAAGTGTGTAAGTGGAATGTCTACCCAACTAGCTTCATTCGGAGGTATAGCAAACGTCAAGAACCCCGCAGGGCACCGAATGATCCAGGGGCAATGGCCCGGACAACGATACCATACGTCCAGGGAGTATCATGTCTTTATTATTAATAAAGACATGATTGCTGAGGCATACCATACTCAGATAAGAGCTGTGGACACAACAAAGGAGGAGAGAGGTATACAATTGGGAAGGGATATTAACCCACAGTTAGTGGAACCCTATTTCCATCATAAGACACAAGAAAACATCAGATTGAACCCTCCCCCCGATACGGCAGGCGTTGGTATTATCGGAAGAGGAGGGGATGCAAGGTTACTAACGCCTCCAAAGACCAATAGTGGAGGGATAGGGAAGGGCATCCGGAGAAAAGAACATAACGTTATAGACACATCTTGGTTATCAGCTGGCCAATCAGGGCCAGTAACATGGTCTAGGAGCCATGCACAAACGCTACTTGAACCTACTTAAACCACCTTTATTCTAATGGCCTTTTAGCCCTGAAGATGCTGAGGAGTTCCCCCAGCGAAAGTTTGGCAACTTTTTAGTATAAGTATATTTTTAGTAAAGTATTCTTACCCTCCCGGTGATCGTGTTTTATTCTTTTATTCATAATTATGCCCGGGAGTCGCATTTTTACCAATGTTCTTGAATATATACATATATATATATATATATATATATATATATATATATATATATATATATATGTGTGTGTGTGTGTGTGTGTGTGTGTGTGTGTGTGTGTATTAACACTGCAACTGGGATTGGAGGGTGGGACTCAAATGCCTCTCTGCTCCTGATATTGGTTGCATTGCCCAGAGGCTACTGGATAATTTCTTGAAGCCTCTAATCCTAAGGGGCCTTGGGGAGAGAAGAGCATTGTCCTACTAAATGCCTGCTTGAAAGTCCCATCAACGCTTTTCCAAATCGTGAGATTGTTGATAATTCCATTACAAATACTATATATTTTATATTTTGGAAATAACACAAGAGAAAAGCTTGCTTGGCAAATGTGTTTATGTGAATACACAATTCCTAAAGAAGGCCTTCTGTATTGATGGTAATAGTTTGGCTGGTTTGGAACAATAGACTAATATAATGTTTGGGGCTGTTTTGTTAAAATGAAATAGAAAATACCATATCCCTTGTATAAGCAAGACAATCCATTGCTTATCATATTTTTGTCTGGCAGTTATATGAATCTTTGATTTGCAAAATACTTTCAATGCAGTTCATTACTTTTACATTTAATATATATATTCAAAAGAATTGAAGATGTAATACAAAGTGAAATATCTGTAAAATAAATGTAGCAGAAGAATGAGGCTGACATATGCAGAAGTTATGTTGCAAGTACATTTTTTCATAGAAATCTCATAAAAAATTACAAAAAAAGCTGTACTCTGTAAAGTGGATTTTCTAAAATCTGGTTACACTTTAATAGTAAAGATTTCTTCAAATGAAGGCAAATGTGGTTTTATTTTTGAGCTGTTTTGCAGTTGTTCTGGAAAAATAAGCAAAAGTAATGAACCATTGATAAAAACAGGAGCAGCATACAGACAATTGTAGCATAAAAGAAGAATATGTGAAGCTTAAAAATTTTCCTGCATGCTATAAACTACTAGCTCATTGCAATAAATCTTTTTTAGAACACACCATAAAATTAAAATGAAAAATAATAGTACCTGGCTCAAAGTTAATGTATTATAAAAAAAATTAATATTGGTTTAAGTAAAAAATATGTGGCATTTTTTTAATATGAGCTCCATTTTTTGCAAGGAATGCATTTAGTTGATAATTAGAATGTACAGCAAATATTAGTCACACATAAAAGAATTGCCACTTTGTTCATGTGTACTGGGATCCATTTTCCTTTGCTTTGAATCTATGGAAAGTGAAAACTGTGTGCAGAGATATTTTTAGAATAGTTAGAATTAACTAGAATTAAATGTTGGCTGAGAAGGTCATGCTTTTGATTTCACTCTTGGATATGTAAAGAAAGCAGCTCTCATAACTTTCTGTCTGCATTAGTTTTTGGGCTCACTTTTAAAGACTGGAGTTGTAGAGGATGAAAAAGAGAGGAAATCAGTTGGGACTGTTACATGGAAGTAGATCTTGGAAACAACAGGTCCATTACAAAAGTAGAAAAAATAGAATAGAGTTGGAAGGGACCTTGGAGGTCTTCTAGTCCAGCCCCCTACTCAAGCAGAAGAACCTAAACCATTTCAGGCAAATGACTATCTAGTCGAGTGGTTCTCAACCTTTCTAATGCCGCGACCCTTTAATACAGTTCCTCATGTTGTGGTGACCCCCAACCCCCCATCCAGCTGGCTAGGGAGGGAAGGAAGGCTGCTCTGCCGGCTCCGCCCAGCCTGATTGGAGAAGCGCCATTCCTCTCCCCCTTTCTCTCTTTCTCTCTCTCTTTCCTCTCTCTCTTTCCTCTCTCTCTTTTCTCTCTTTCCTCTTTCTCTTTCTCTCTTTCCTCCCTATTTTCTCTCTTTCCTCTCTCTTTTCCTGTTTCTCTTACCTCTCTCTTTCCTCTTTCTCTCTTTCCTCTCTCTTTCCTCTTTCTCTTTCCTCTCTCTCCTCTTTCTCTTTCTTTCCTTTCTCTCTTCTCTCTTTCCCTCTTTCCTCTCTTTCCCTCTTTCCTCTTTCCTCTCCCCGTTTCTCTCTTTTTCCTCTTTTTCTCTCTTTCTCTTTCCTTTCTCTCTTTCTCTCTTTCCTCTCTCTTTTCCTCTGTTTCTCTCTCTTTCCTCTCTCTCTTTCTCTCTCTTACAGCATCATCATCGGGGGTCCCCTCTGCCCCTGGCCCGGCCTCCTCCATGTCCTCAGTCAAATGGGTGGGGAGGGGGAGCAGGATGGGAGGCAGTGGCTGGGGTGGCGGGGGCCAGTGCTTCATCGTCAGGTGTCCCTGCCACCCCTGGCCCGGCCGCCACCCTGCCTCATCCTCCGTCCATCGATGGAGCCGCGGTGGGGGCTGGAGCCACGTTGCCCGCCAGCCCGTCAGCCCAGCTGCTCCCCCCCAGGTACCCCTCTTCCTCCCGGCGCCAGCCCGAGCCGCCTTGGGGGCAACAGGAGGAACAAGGAGAGGAGAAGGGTGAGAAAACTGCTGCCACCGCCCCAGCTGGGACTCCGCACTGCCTGGCCTCCCCCTCTGCCCATCCGATGGAGCCGCACTGGGGGCTGGTGCTGCGTGGCTCACCAGCTCCTCCGCCACCACGGTTGCTCCCCCCAGGCACCCCTCTTGCCCCGGCGCCTGCCCGAGCCGCCTTGGGGGCAGCAGGAGAAAGAAGGAGAGGAGAAGGGTGAGAAAACTGC